AGAAATAACTCTGTGCAGTCTAAATGGCTATATTTTTGCATGTACAGCCTGTTTTCGTACCTGTTAAGGTTTTTGATAAACCAATTACGGCGGCTAAAAATATTCGTCTTCAAAGGAGAGAAGCCGTTGCAAGCAGAAATGGAAATTGTTTTTCCCGGGCTACTGATTTTGGAGGAATGAAATTGGCGATAGGAAACGGGAAGATCAGTATGTCGAGGTCCAGTTTGTTTTGGAGCTACCACTCCTCGCTATTTTCTACCATAAAACACAGCAACGGTTTATTTAACACTAAACTTTTCTACAGTGATATCTTCGGCTGATTAACTGACTAATCACGCTTGTTGACTGTAACTGCACAATTTCTTCCAGTGTTATGCTCAGTAGCCAACGCATCCCACAGAATCGCCTTTAGGCGTCTTATTGGTGTGTTTTTGTCCGTCAGTTTAGTCTTACACTTAAATAAACCCCCGTAAAAGATTGGTTCTAAAAATCGTTTTCTTCAAGAGAAGCTTAAACTATATTTCAACGCGGCTATACTGAAGAAACCTCTGATCACACAACTCCTTGAAAGTGTAATGTACATGGTTTTTCCCAGTTGAAATCACCCTTGTCTTCATACTTATACAGACACGAATTTAGAGAGCATTAATTCGTTTCTTGAACAAGGAGAAACGATCGATTTTCGGGGTAAACAAAGGAACACTGAGTACCTGTCGGTAAGATTCGTTAGGAAGTACCCTCCCCCACCAAAGTTTTTTCGAGTTACAAACACACTCAAGGAAAACTCCCTCGCTCAACGCCCTCAGTAAAAATGGCTCTCAAGCTGCAAGGTCATCAAAAAAGGTAATTAGAAAGCAAAATTATCCCGGAATTTATAAGCTGTATGTTTCTATTTTTTTCTGTATATCTTAGCGAGTGCTCATGACTCTCTTCACGGCGCACGATTAAAATATGCTCCCTGGCTCTTTGCCCGAAATAACAAAGCCCTTTGTTTCCTTTTGTTTTCTGCCGTTCTTTGATTGGTCAAAATGACATCATCGCTTTAAGTACAAAAATAAACCTGAGTTTTCATTGTTGCTATTCAGGAAAAATGTGTCTTTTCGTGACAGAAGTCGTGTTCAAGACCGGTCGTGGACTGCCATAGAAATCTCGCAGTTGCATCACATGGGAGTGGATTTAAATTCGAGGTAGTCTTTTTTCTATTCAAGTTGTAAAATAATTCGCTCAATGTGAGGTTTCATTCAAATCGCCCGATCAGCACATTGTATTGGCTTCTTGCATAATATACCTATTTCTGTAAACAATTTATTACAGAAAAGCAAGGATTTCGCCCCATATACGAAAATCTTAGTTTGTCTTCTGAAAACAAGGAAACTGCAACAGCGTTGACTTCAAACGTGTACGGAAAATATTGTGGAAGGTGTTTGAGTGAATGCTACAAAACGGCTCAATGACTTCTACCGAAGGAACGCCTGGTGAACTTGGCTCTCGATCAAGTTCAAATTCCCACCGGCCAATTCACTACACACAGTCTGTACCCACATTTATCGAAGAAAGGAGAATTCACCATTTGCAAGCTGAAGAACTCGATGGGAGACGCTCCCGCTCACATTCGGAGCCACTGACTCGAGAAGCTGTAAAAATCGCTCAAGAACTACGGAGGGCGAGCGATCTGTTTATCACGAATTACGAGTTATCTCCCTCTCCGACAACGAAACGGGAATTTTCTCACTACAGAAAAAGCTCGTCCAGACGTATTACTGTAGGGGGATCCGGAGGAGACGCATTAAGACAGGAATTAAGTCAAATTCTCCAATCTAATGGGGATGCTAAAAGATTCGAGTTTATGGATCCCAATCCTTTACCCTTGGAGGGCACTCCTGTTTAACATCACCCTACTCTGTAGGATGCTGAGGCGAAACAAGCATGGTGTCAGAGGGGTGCCTGAGAAGTTGAAACTATGATCTTGTTCTTTTGAATAACATTTTCAAAGCAGCATACAGCTGAATAGGGGAGATGCAAGGTTCTGAATCATTTTTGGCTGAATTTGATACAATTCGCTTTGCCTGGTGTTACCGTACTTGATACGGCAATTTTTGTGTTTCAAAAACTGGCAAGATAGAATAAGAGATATCCGTTTGCAACACCGCAGAATGAAAGCAATAGGCTCTTCACTCAATTCCTTAATATTGAGGTCTCGCATATTTTTATATGTAATTAAAGTTTTGAATATAAGACTTATTTATTTTATCAATTTCCATGTCAGAGGTTGCCTCCCCCCCCCCTCCCACAACTATCAACTTAGAGGGTGTAATGAGGACTGGGTTAGTATGTTTTTTTTTTCTTTCAGTTAGGGAAGGTTGGGGACAAAGTTCAGCTACCTATTGATTGAAACCATAAAATTCATGTTGAGTTCTTTTGTGGTTGGCTCTATTACAGTTTGTTCCCAGTTTATTGTTGAATCTCTTGTACAACCTGTTGTTTTTATTCTGGGTCATTGCCTACCATGCAGAAGGCAGGCATGTATAGGAGAGGGAGGGAGGGCTAAGTAAAATTTGTGGGTGGGTGGCAGACACTGCAAGTTGTCATCTTAATCCTTTACACTCTAACATCAGTATGCATATTCTCCATACTGTTCTTTACACATTTTTTAAGTCGCTTGCAAGGAGAACTTGTTTAACAATCAAGAGCTTCTTAAGTTGGTGATCATTTCCTTTATTCTTGTGACTCAGGGGTGATATTGTTAAAATAAATTAGATGCTAGTCACTCTCAGGAGTCTACGGGTTAATGAAGCCACCTTGGATTAGAGGATGTCTGTGGGGGACAGAAGCTTGAAAATCTTCATGTTGGGTTTCAGATGAAACCAAGGATGCTTTGCTTCACAGATAAACTTGACTTAAAGTCATGCAAAAAACATCAACCAATTTAAATTAAATAACTTTGTAATAGAAAATATTATGTTTTGGCAAATTGTAGAGGTTTAATGTGGAAGTTTATATAATAGGCAGTGAATTGTGTTAACATACATGTAGAGCGGAAACTGGGAGACTAAGAGTAAAAGAAACATGAATGATTCATGAAGAAATATTCCAATGAGGGGAAAATTTTCCATATAAAGAGTGTCTTTCCTACTGGAATGTTTTTGGTTATAATTATAGTGTTATGACTATTAACCCCAAAGAGTGACAAGAATCTAATTTCTCTCTAAAGTATCACCCTTGAATCAAGCAGTAAGGTCAAGTGAATAAAGCAAATGATCAAAAATTCAAGAAGCTCGTGATTGTTGGACAAATATTCCTTGTAAGTACTAGAGGCAATGAATAGAGAATATGCATACTGATGTTGGATTGTAAAGGGTTAGATAACATGTTCTTAAATGTCCATGGCCCCATCATATTATATTATACCTTCTCCATGGATATGAAGCTTATACAAAATAAGAAATGCACAACTTTTTTTTCTTTTTTATTCTTTTCCTTCTTTTTTTTTGTAGAGGGAGATTTTTTTCAACAAAGGAATGGGACAACTGTTTGTATAAGATCCTGTAAGTTATTATAGAACAATCAAGAGCTTCTTTTGTTGGTGATCATTTCCTGTATTCTAGCAGCCTTTATGTTTGAATCAGGGCTGATTTTGTAAAGAGAAATTAGGTGATGGTCACTTCTAGAGGCCAAAGGGGTTAGTTAAATAAAGTACTGCTCACCTTGTTTGAGTTGTTTGTTCTTATGCATTGCCCTCTCTGGTTTGATCCAAAAGCCACACAGGAGACAAAGAGGCACATAATGGAAGCTGTTTATGGTAGTTTTAACAAAATTCAAACATCTTTCTTTGACACTGACTGTTCTGATCGCTAAGTCATGAAAAGTAAGACAAACTAGTTAGGATTTTGTTTCATAATATTGTTACCAAAAATTGTTTTGTGATTTGTGTGACTGTCTAGAAGTTTCATGAGTATGCTAATTTAAGCCTAGAAGTTTCTTGAATATTTAATTAGTTTCACATCACAGCGCATCAGTGGCTTTTCAAGTCTGTGTAAGATGCAGTAAATAGTTTCATGTTAGAATGCTACTATAATTGGGTTAGCTGGAAAGTTCTAGAATCTCATGCTGTTCAGCATACAAGCTAATTTGTGCAACTAAATGCATGACTGGTTTTTTCATTAGCTGAGTAGTGTGATGGAGGTTGAGTTTAATGGTGGTTGTGATTGTTTGAAGTTTGGCAGAGGCCGTGTATCAGTGTTTACTGTAACTAATTGTTTCAGAGTTTTGCAGCTGTGAAGACTACATTCATCCAGAATAAATCATCTTCACTGCTGTTCCAACATCCCTGTGTTCTGTTACAGACAATCATTTCCACTTAACAATCACTCATAACATATATAATTGAGTTTAATACATGCTGTGGTGTTAGCTATTGTGAAAATAGTATTTAAGAGCAACAGTATATACAACCAACAAAATCATGGGAGCAAAGTGAAAAAAAAACTATTTTTGAGTATCTGGGTGCTTGTATTAATGTCAAAGTTTGCAATGCCTATCTTTGTTAGTATTGCTTAACCTTTGGACCCCTAAGAGTGAGTTACATCTAATTTTTCCATACAACAATATCATCCATGAACCAAATATTAAGGTTACAAGTAAAAAGGAAATTATCACTAACTAAAGAAGCTCTTGATTGTTAAGAAATTCTTCTTTTTAACTCTTTGGGAAATGTATAGAGAACAGTAGGGAGAGTATATATGTATATTTATTTATATAATAAGCTCAGTTATCCATGCATTCTGATTGGTTCTCACTTATGATCTATTGGAGGACAGACATATAGATGACGTCATCATTAAAACTTTTTTAATTCTTTATTATATAAAACAAATAGATTCCAAGTTGCCATGCATCTGTTCAGTAATAGATCACAGAGAAAAAAAATAAAAATGTGGTAAGAACATCAGTGACACTGATCACATCATCTGTGATCTATTACTGAACAGATGCACGGCAACTTGGAATCTATTTGTTAAATGTCTATATATATGTATGTATGTATGTAAGTATACCGATGTATAGCTGTATAGCATGGCATAGGTAATGGTAAAACAGGGATGATAAAAATGAATTAAATGGAAAATCATATGCGGTACTTTAGCCAGTGAGTTGGTGTCTTTAATAGTTGTATTTAGTAGTGCAAGAAAATTGATATATTTAAATTATGGATAATAATTTTTTTTTCCCTTACTGTCAAAGGGACACTCTTGGGTGACCTGATTATTTAGTGATGGGTGGCTATGGTTTGAGCTCTTACCTAGGCCAGAGTTGGGGGAGGGGCCAGTTAGGTTGATGGGGTACAAATGTTTAATAACTAAACCTCTTCAGGCAGCTGGTATATCAGCTGATAATGTATGCTGCTGAGATATTGTCCCAAAAATTAGTATTTGGCCAAGAAGCCAAGCTTTGAGGGCAAATGTGAAATTTTGAGGAAAATCTCTTAGCCAAGGAAATTATTACCTGACATACCAAGAAGCCAGAAGTGCGTTTATTTATTTTATGTGACTCTCCCATTAATTTTTGTTTTGCGTATTGACAGCAATTTTTTTGACTTTTTTTGTACTTCCTAGAGCAACATTTGAGATCAAATTTTTAATGGTAGTACCTGTCAAATCTACAAAACGAGTTTTTATACCAGGCAATTAATTAAGATGAGAAATATGAAACTCTTGAGACAGCTCTTTTATGCTGGCTCTATTTCTTTTCAAAGGAAAACAAGGAGGACAAATATCAATGTAAATGGTGGTTATTGCACAATAACTGTCTGGTGATTTTGTACCACGTGACGAAAAGTAGCCAATAGAGTCGCGTAAAAAATAATGTGCGGGTTATAAAGTAAATTATATTGATAAATGCAATGTATGTGAGAAAATGACCTATTTATATAAAAATCATATTCACTAGCTGTTCAATTTCACAAACCATTTTAGGGAGACCACCTCTTGCACAACTAAATTCGAGGCATTTGATTTCCACAAAGACTCTCCTTTCAAGCTCCGATTGCGACAAAACATTACCGTCCCTGCCTTTTTAGATACTTGTTTAAATTTATAGATACCGTTTAAATTTCAAAATTGAGGTGATCTGGTAACTAGTGTGATAGGGAAATGGCGCCTTTGCTAATTTTAGATTGTTTTGAAATTTTGCGCCACAATTTTCTCGTCGATCGGGCGATCGATCGATCAGTTGTACTTTCGTCTACTAAAGAAGACCATTTAATTCTCAGGAGAGTTTTCCGTAGCTGAAATGTCGAATTTGGAAGGAGCTTTTGCGCCAGTTCCCGTTCAAAGGTATGCGATTCTCCCTCGGGGATCGATGTTCGACTTAGTTTGTAAGTTTCTCTGACACTCGGCAATTTGACTTCCACTCCCGATTTACTTTTCATTAAGAAGTCGAGCTTTTGAAATGTAGAAAAAGGGAGGTGGGGACCCTAGGTAGGTGAGGTAACCCGCCTTAAGCCGTGGTCGAAAAATAAAACGCGTTTACATACAATCTTAAGACCCCGGGGTGCTGGGGTGAGGTTTCTTGAGGTTGTTGTTGCGCTTGCAATCAGGGAGTTTGAGCATAGTAGTCCCAAGCTCACGTCTCGAGAAAGACGAAAGATTTGTTATTGGACACGCATGTATTTATCCATGAAGGCGTAACGCGGTGTTAGGTTACACGAGGAACCATTGACTTATTACGTTATAAGGAATAGTTTGAAATGGACAATTTACAACGCTAAATATTCCGAAATGTGAACATTTTACACTCCTTGTGTGTCCCTTGCAGTTTCTGGTGATTTCTGCCATGAGAGGGCTAGGAAATTTACGAAGTTTTAAAACATACGTGTTTCGCTTTTGAGCTTTTTGCCATGAACGCAACCCCGGGTGGGCGGGTTACCCCACCTTGAGACGTTTAAATGGCAAATTGTCACCCCGGCAAACAGGGTTACCCTACCTGGAAGACCAGACAACCCACCTAGGTGGGTCACCCCACTTATCATGTAAACGTGATCAAGATCAAATAAGAAATTTTATGGACAGGTGGGTTACCTCATGTACCTGGGGTCCCCCACCTCCATGTAAACAGGCCCTTAGCTAGAACAGAGTTCATACACTGGTCAATTGACAGGCTAGGGACAGGGAAGGAATTTGATAGATAAAAAGAATTTTAAAATTGATTTTACTACAAAACTTCACCTCTCATCAGCTTTGTATATGTGGCACTCTGGATAACTATGGATAACACATAGTCCTCTTAGTACTAAGGTATAAGGTTCATACCCTGGCCATGTGAACTTTTTATTAATTTTGTCTTTTCTTTTTTTCCTTTTTTTTTTAATTCAATTCAAATTATTCTTCAAAGGATTTGTTAGATATGTTCAGAGTAAATGCACATTTGTGAATGTTTGATGATTTAGCTCTTATGTTCAAATTGATAACAATGTCGAAATGCAGAGGTGAGGCCCAGCAAAAAAAATTAACTAGACACGAAAAAAGTGAGTATAAGTCCTAAGAAACCTGATCAGATCCGTTCAGTGATGGCCAGTGTCAGAACTGAACCAGGATAGATCACAAGAGATGTTAGGAGTGTCTCACAATAGTCCACCATTTTGAAAATCATGCAGGGTTTGGGGGAAGGTTTTCAGACCTACATGACACCATAACATGGTGCCTAGGGCCAATAATCCTAGAAGGATTGCACAATAGGCACAAAATGGCAGCTAAATGCATTTAGTTATATGAGGGACTTCTAGCTCACTTCACAAACCATTGAACACTCATTACACAATAAGGGTTTTGCTCCCAGGTTATGCTGGAGGAACAAACTACAGGAGAGAAGCTCTTTTGCACATATCAATGGGGTTTATTTCATCCTCTTATGCAGAATTTTCATCCCACATAATGAAATGGGCCACAAGAGTATACCAGGTATTTCAAAGGGTGGATAGCCTCTATCCAATGGCTTAATAGCTATTCAGTAGACAATTGTTTATAAAATGTATTGTGTTATTTACTGGGTAGAGATTTATCCAGTTGATGGCAATCACCACCCTTTGAGCAATTGGGACCAGAGGAAAAATTGGGTGCAAGGTCTTGGGGTTAATTGAACAAACTTGAAAATGCTTCTCTGCATGCACTGGTTATGCAAACTGAAACATGCTCCATGGCCAAGAGCAAAACCCTTCAAGTGTATTCAATTTGACCATAACTACTGTATACATAGACAAATTCCATTGTGCATTCACACATTTACACTTCAGTTATTTCACACATACTACATTATTTTGCAACTTATGGTGCCACACACAATTAGAATAATTTAAATGCTGTGTTAAAAACAAGATGAATTAATTTTCAACCCTTAATTACTGTTACACATAATTTATGTGCTTTAAAGAACAAACTTGGATACATTATTGCTTTATTTATTCTGAATTTCAGGGGAACTGGCAGCTATTACAGAGGATTTGTTAAACCACCTGAAAGATTTATCAGTACTCAACTGTCAGGGGGACTCAGGGTACTATATCAAAAGCTTGAAGAAAAAAAACAAGACTTGTGTAAGGAAGAAACTCTACTGCTCAGAGCGGCTACAATACCAAAAGGTTTAGTATGATTCTACAGTGCTGCCAATTTCACTGCCATTCTCCTAAGTTCTACTGAGTAAACAGGGAGACTCACCATCGGCTGATTCATCCACTGGGTGTATTTTGGTACATATTACTTGTACAACTCTTTACACTTAT